AACAGAAACGTGTTCATGTTTACTGGAAACTCGGAGGAGTTTGTGTAACAGAAACGTGTTCATGTTTACTGGAAACTCGGAGGAGTTTGAAGTGTGACAGATACGTGTTCATGTTTACTGGAAATAAATACTGCATATATACAACTTAATGTATTGAATTTAAAGAATCAAGCTTTGATACATAAGCTGTATCTATACATGTCACGAAAAAATGGTCAGGCCATGGCCTGAGAGACCTTACCGCTCTGAGCATTATCTCGAAAATCGTTTTCTTATCTGAAAACTTAATTATAGGGAAGTGTAAAAGGTAAATGTTTTTGTCCAAAATCGTCTAGAAAGGTCAAAGTTCATACTTGTCCTAAATATCATTACAAGAGTTGAATGTTTCGGTTCGAAGGTTAAGTTTTTAACACTAAATATTGTCAGCTGTACTATAGTGCCACTTCTCAACCCTGTCCAATGGCACACGAATCGGGAGAGCAGCAGAGGTCACCCTCATTTAGAGGATATGAGAACCATGTGGTGACAGGACGTGGAGAGTAGCAGAGGTCACCCTCATTTAGAGGATATGAGAACCATGTGGTGACAGGACGTGGAGAGTAGCAGAGGTCACCCTCATTTAGAGGATATGAGAACCATGTGGTGACAGGACGAGGAGAGTAGCAGAGGTCACCCTCATTTAGAGGATATGAGAACCATGTGGTGGCAGGACGTGGAGAGCAGCAGAGGTCACCCTCATTTAGAAGATATGAGAACCATGTGGTGACAGGACGAGGAGAGTAGCAGAGGTCACCCTCATTTAGAAGATATGAGAACCATGTGGTGGCAGGACGTGGAGAGTAGCAGAGGTCACCCTCATTTAGAGGATATGAGAACCCTGTGGTGGTATAATTAACAACTAGCAAACTGTGGTTTCAAGCCAGTTACCTAGGATGACAGATCATCATAAGAATGTGTTCTGAGAATTCATGGTTGAGCATTCTTTGCTTATCGAATGTGACCTAGGCCAGGATGGGGGTGGGGGGAGAACAGGTGGTCAAGAGGAAATGCTGCCTCTTAAACAAAGGAAGCGAGTTTTCATTCTAAAGTCAAGTGTGCTTTGTAGTCCAGTTATCCATTAGACAATCAAGGAAGAATTGTTTTTGAGATCAACGTGTTTAGTCCAAACGATGTCCATTAAGTCCATCTAGACATTGTAATCCACAAAATAACAATGGAATCTCGGTCGACTTTCCTCATTCACAAAGTTCACTGGGCCGAGTTACCAGTTAGTAATCCTGTCTGTCGGGAAATCAGTTTAATACCACAAGATTTTGTAAGTCCAGGATACAAGGTTTGAACCCTACAGTGTACACAGAGCGATCAGTTCATTCTTGAGCTTTGCTTTAAAAGAAAACAAACACGTCCACGCACAGATATTAGAGGTACATTATATGCGTGTAAAGGTATGTTTGAACAAAAGTGACGAAATAATTCCACAGACAAAATTTAGTTAAATCACGTTAACATTATATGTATTTTTGAAGTCTGCCTAAATTAGTTTTTTTTCTCTCGATGATTCCAGCTCAAGGTTTAAATATGAGAGTTAACCCGATGTTACTTTCAGCTGCGCCCAGCGTTTTTTTTTCTCCGTGTGTGTTCTATGACACGAGCATATTTTTTGGTTGCCATCGTTACAACTTGTAATGATAACCGTAACACGTGCGCTGAAGAACTATGCACACTTTATGGGGGATTTTTTTTTTCCGTGTGGGCAGAAACGATGCATGAACAAATCTCCCCCTCGGTCTGCCTTTGAAACATGAGCTAAAATGGAGTTATAGTGTTGTTCACGTTGAGAAACCAATTCACAGCCCCTTCTCCTCTTTAAATAATCTTACCCTTTCAAGAATCTCGTAATCTTTCCAATGTTTTACCTCTAAACATTCACGTGAACTAACTTATAATGAGATAATATGGAAGAACAAAAAAAAACCTCTTCCATAACCACAATGTTGTGTAGTTCACACGAAATAAAAAATAAATTTGTCCATGTGTACACCTGTTTCTTAAGAGACTCCAAGGATCTCCCAGTCCGACTGTCAAGACTGCAGACTAATTAACAGCAAATCTGGTTCGTATTGATTTCAAGGTAAAAAACAACGCAACTTAATTAAAGTCCTCGACTAATACGTAAAAATGAATTAAAACAATCACTGTTTCTTCTTCTCTTCGCTGGTGGTTTCACTTCGGTTTCATATCAGCCTTCCCGTACGTTTATAGACATGTTAATATATACAACAAGAGCTATGTATTTTGAATGTAAAGATACAAAAAGTAATCCTTTTTTCTCGGCCATTTCACTATTATAAGAATCCTGCTGTAACATTCCATTAGCAGCCCGTTAATCAGCGGAAGACAGTATATTTTATACGGTCATGCGTAGAATGACATTTCTCCTCTAGCTGGGTGAAAGGAACGAAGAATGACGCGTTTATTACAGTTCGTTGTTTGCGTCACCGAATGACGTCACACTCCTAAACTATACCATGTTTTATTTCTAGATAGAAACCTAATTTTAACTTAATGAATACTCTAAAAACAAAAACAAAAACTATTTCATACTTTTTTAAGGGTGTTTATGTACTGATACAGGAGATTCATATAGACAATTGTGAATTAACACCCTTCGTCCAAAAAGGTTATTTTACACCCACAATATAATTATGAAATATTAAATGTTAATACTTTAAAGAAGCCGTATATCATATAGTCTTCTAAAAAATATGTTCGTAAAATGCTACAATTATCTTAAGGTAAGTGATTTTACTAATAGTTTTTTACTGTTTTTGCATGCTACTTACATGATTTTCAGTGCCTAGCATGAGCGTGAACGTTTACTTGTTTCAAATGAGCACCTTTAAGGATGTGAATTCGCACCACGTCAACAACAAGGAATCGCACACTTTGTTCTTAGAGTAAGTGTTGTTAGGGTTGTCTTATCCCTTTGTTAAGCCAGTAAAATAACTGTTACTAGTGAGGCCTAACGTAACTTGGTTGTTAGTGTTGTCAGGGTTGTCTTATCCCTTTGTTAAGCCAGTAAAATAACTGTTTCTAGTGAGGCCTAACGTAACTTGGTTGTTAGTGTTGTCAGGGTTGTCTTATCCCTTTGTTAAGCCAGTAAAATAACTGTTTCTAGTGAGGCCTAACGTAACTTGGTTGTTAGTGTTGTCAGGGTTGTCTTATCCCTTTGTTAAGCCAGTAAAATAACTGTTTCTAGTGAGGCCTAACGTAACTTGGTTGTTAGTGTTGTCAGGGTTGTCCTATTTTTAAGAACATCAAGAGTGTTTAGGCTTATCATTTGGTTAAGCCAGTAAAATAACTGTTTCTAGTGAGGCCTAACGTGACTTGGTCGTTAGGGTACCCGGCTAGCAACATGCGGGTCGCGAGTTCGAATCCTAGGGGGCGTTATAATGTGATGGTCAATCCCATTAGTCGTTGTAAAAAATATCCCAAGAGATGACTAGTCCCACTCCCCTCCCTAGTCTATCATTTGTGAATTAGGGACAGGTAGCGCGAATAGCCCTCGAGTAGCTTTGAGCGAATTCAACAGACGAATAAGTTTGTGGAGAAACTTAGAACGTTACGTAAGATTGGTTGAAATTCGAGGGTCCGTCTCTTTATTACATGACCATTTGTATTTTAAACATTAATTTATTTAAAAGAAGATTGTTAAAAACTGTGTACGTTAATCATATTATTATGCAAATTTTAAAGTGGTGAACACAACAACCACTAAAAACAAACAAACTGGTAACTGGTCAAAGGTCATGAGCACTGATGACGAGTGTATCTTTTTACATAAAAAGTTTCTCGGTATTTCTTTTAGAAAAAGGCTTAACGGATGTACAAGTATAAAACT